CTTTGTAGTATTTTATTTGAGTCTATTTTTTTTAATTATGTGGTTAGGTATATGAAGTTTAATAAAAAAATTTTTTCACTGTCTACTCTGGCTATTATTATTTGTTTCAGCTCGTGATTATTACTGAAAATAATTTTGACATTATAGAGGGTGAAGGGCTTAAAATATGACCTATTCCAGGTGACAAATAGGTTAGGTTCTGCACCACCACCACCCCACCCCCCACCACCACCCCACTCCCCCACTCCCTCTAAAAATTGGGGAACTGAGTAGGAGGAACCCGTGAACCAGTCCCGACGGGAAGTTCTATCAGCTGACAGCATTCTAGTCCAGATGTTCCCCTGCCACAAAGGTAAGGATGCAGCAGGGCAGAGGTGGCTAAATGCCTGGAAGGGTATGATGACAAACCCCAGCCTCTCGAGGCCTCAAATAGGCCAAGAGAACAGCTAAGACCTGATATCTTGAGGGAGTTTCAGAATCTTAGCAAAGTGCGCCCTAGTGGAAGGTGGTGGGAACTACATCCTCGGGAACCGAACAAGGATCACCGGACGCCAGAAAGAGACCCGGGACAGTCTCAGACCACCACCGGATGAGTTCAGCTGGGCAGATAGATGCAAGCATCAGAGAGGGGTGGTAGACCAGATTCCACCCTCCTCCTAGGTCACTTAGGGTCCATCTTTGGGCAAAAGAAAGAGAAGGAAATCCTCCGAAATGGCTCAATTGACACCTGAAATGACTGAGTTTATCAGTGCTGTCTGCCATCAGGCAGCATTGGGACTCTAAATAGAAGGGAAGTTCTATTTTTTTTCCAAGGTACATGTTTGCACAGTTACTTGGCTTCACAGAAAATTCTGCTGCAACTTTTATATTGGTGAATAAAACCCAAACACCCCTACAGTGGAAATCACTTTCAGATTTGCCAACCACTACACTACACTCTACACTACAGCATACATGGAGGACAGGCATACGGTGGGTGTCTCCTTCAGAGGCTGAACTTCTCAAGGAGTCTTTTTTTTTATTGCTGAATGTCCAGACACTGACACAGTGCCCAGAAAATGGTAGGTGTGGTGGAAACTGCTGGGTGCTTCCCACACGTGTGGTGTGCTGCCCGCTCCCCATTGTCCTCGGGACTGAGGGGTGAATGTCTCCAGCTGCTAGGAGTGTTGCTGGCTGGCTGGCAGCTGTCGACTGAATCATTCTCTGAGAGGGTCACCCCCTCGTCTCTGGCAGCCTGTAGCCGCAGGCTATAAATGGAGAGCTGTGAAGGACCACCGTCTCGCCTGGTACAACACAACTCTGCAGGGCTGTAGCAGCTCGCAAGCTGCCTGCAGGCTGG